ACCCTAATTGTGCTGGTATTTCTTGTGTATACAGCTATAAAAGTTAAATTTTAAGTGTTAGTTATATAAATATATAAAAATTAGATGTTGTTAAGGTATCTTTCTTTTAAATTAAAAAAAAAGGTATTCATATTATTTTAAAATAATCAATAATTTATAACCCGCTAAAAGAACTCAACCTTTGACAAAAATTATACACCAATGGCTACAAATTTACTTGCCGACAGCAATCATAGATCACATCTTACATTTATAATCTAAACCAGCCCCTGACCTGCACATCATTTATAAATTTCAAATCTCATCATCAATAAAACAAGCCTCAACAAAATCCCTGCATTGACCATGGCCTCCGGCACCACCAAGACGCTCTCCCTTCTCCTCATCTTCTTCTTCGCGGCTACCGCAGCCATTGCTTCCAGCCTCCGTTCCACCAAAGTACGCTTCTCCTTCCTTTTTCCCCTGAATAGTGCTTTCAATCACTCTACGTTGATCTTTTTCTTCTTATGATTCCGCAGGCAAGAGCTCACGATGACGACACCTGCGTTTACACAATCTACATCAGAACGGGAAGCATCTGGAAAGGCGGGACGGACTCAAAGATAAGCCTGACGCTCGCTGCATCAGACGGCTGGGGCGTGGAGATAACGGATCTAGAAGATTGGGGAGGCCTGATGGGCGAAGGTTACAACTATTTCGAGAGGGGAAACCTCGACATCTTCTCTGGCCGAGCTCCATGCCTCTCCGGCCCACTGTGCTGGCTGAATCTCACATCGGATGGATCTGGTGAGCATCATGGATGGTACTGTAACTACGTCGAGGTCACCACTACAGGACCTCATCTCGGATGTTTCCAGCGTCAGTTCACCATCGAGCAGTGGCTCGCAACAGATACCTCACCATATAAGCTATATGCGACCGTTGATTACTGTTCTTCTGATGACGACGGAGTTTCTAATGGTCCTCGGCTGCTTAGGCCCGCCGTCGCTGGCCGGAAGGAGAAGCTGGAGTTCGATTAGGGTTTCACGCGATCGACAAGATTGGGTTTTGGTGTGGCCACCGTTTGTGGACAGATGGGTGACGATATGAGAGTTTGTACGGTGTGGTGTTAGTCGGTCTTGATGTGTGTGTAATAAATGTCGTTATGATTTCGACGGTGGATCGTGCTGTTCTGTTTTCTGGCTGGGTAATGAGATCTCGGCGTCGGTTTTGTTCTGGCTTTTGGCTGTACTAGCGTAGCAATTTAACTTGCGGTGACCGTATCCGGCGACGAGAGCGCCGTGGACAGTTTGGGCGTGAAGCATTTGTCTTTCATACATTGGCGATGCCTTGCCTTATCAAGATAAAAACCTGTCTAGTTCTTAGTTCTGAAAGGTTTTGGATGGAGAGAATGTTGATTTATCGGGGCATTTACATCATTTTATGTGACGAGTCTTATATATTAATATTATATAGTTAATTTTTAAAAATAAGGAAGAATACAAAAATTGAAGTTGTGTATATTTATGAATATTGTATAATTAAAATATTTTCTTAATAGTTAAATTGTATTGAAATATAATAGATAGTACATGAAAATTAGAATATGTGCAATAAAATTAAGTAGTATTTACATATATTCCACTCAATTTCTATGTATTTCCATATACCATAGCTAAATTTTAAGTTTTTCACACACACACGTGTGCCTAAAGATACTTGTCACACTGGTAACTATACAAAAGTTAGCAAGATTACACACTTTAGTTTCTATATCAAAAATCTTGAAAAGCAGGAAAAACTACAATGCCTACTGAAGTTTAAATTATATAATAAGATGATGAGTATATAGATTCATTCTTCTCCTGTAGTATGAAATAATTGTTTATTATAAATTTAAAATAGTAGTTTATTCATAATAATCATAGTATGGTTGTAATGATTACAACTCTAAGTAATATTAGACTGCAAGGGCTGTAGTCGATTGATATGAAGACAGTAGTCTACCAAAATATTGTAAACGTTGGTTGTAGTGTCAGCTTCTCATATAGAATATAGTGAAAGCCATGATAGTAGTTGATCATGTGGACCTCGAATGGTGTCTTTGAGAGCATAAGTTGGCCACAAATGTAAGCCATAATTGGTCACGTAGAGCGAGTGGTGAGATGTGATAACGTCGGCAAGCCACAAAGGCTGGAGTTGGGAGTTTTATACGTTGTGGGTTGCATAGGCCATAGTTGGTCGTGTTGGCCATAATAGTCAACTGTGATAAAGTCCAAAGGTTGTAGCGTCAGAAGTCGTAAGCTACACGAGCTATAAATCACCTAGGCCATAAGTGGTCACATAAGACGTAGTGGTCTATAGACGGCAGAGGCCAGAGTTAGAAGCTACACGAGCCATGAACCACGTAAGCCCCAGTGGTGAGCAATAATGATGCACATTAGCCGCATGGGTCAAAGTCGGGAGTTGTGATGATGCTCGTAGGTCGTAAGGCGAGGGCCCGCTTTCACTACCAAAAAAAAAAAAAAAAAAAAAACTCATGCTATTATATTGTATTTTCATTTAATATTCTATAAGTTATACTAAATATATTTGTGTATTTTGTATAAAAAAATCTTCTAATTCATTGATTAATATTTAAAATAAAATTATATTTATCCACAATTGAACTGATAAAAATAAATATCAGGAAATTCATTTTTTTTGTATGGAAAAAGTAATGTTTAATATAATCACTTAGTGTTTGTTTAATTTTTATGCAATTTACTCTTATATAATCTTTGGCCATACGCCCCATAACTCCATTATCTCTATATACCATTTGGGCTCCTTAAAGTGGGCCTCTCCGTCTGAGTAACGAAAGGCTTTGATTTATTTCCTTGGACTGCCTTTCTACATCCCGTCTGCCTTGATTTATTTCCTTGGACTGCCTTTCTACATCCCGCTGCTTTGTTGTTAAAACTTTATTATAACATCAATTTGATTTATGAAAAAGCACTAAAAGTCACACCCAAATGGGTTCTCAGCTTAGGGGTTCATATCTTCATTTTTATCATTGATGTCTTGCATTAGAGCCTTTTTTCTTAAAAAAATTATAGTATTTTAATCATCACTTCTACCCAGAAAAAAAAAAAAAATCAACCCCTTAAAGTCTCTTCTATAATAAGCATTGCACCTCTTTTAATTTATATAAAAATTTAGTACTCGAAATATTGTTATTGATAAAATTAAAACTTACATAAATTTCATAAACTACCAAACCAAGCACTTATGAATGCTATTGGGAATTTTAGAAAATTGAAAAACATGAGTTAGTTTTGTAAATATCAATGTTTCGAGTGCTATGCATGTACCTGATATCTAATATTCATGTTTTCTATATTTTTCGAGTGATAGTAATGTGTTCTCCAAACTACATAGACAAAAGTTTTGTTTTATTAAATTAATACCTTAAATCCCATAAATTATTAGATCAAAATTGATCCACGAAAAATACTCTAACTTTAACTTTGGAGAGAATTCGAACTACTAAGGAATAACTTATGATGCTTTGCATGATCCAAATGAGTTCGGCCAATGAAGAATTCAAATTGAATTGGTGCTCTATTCTAATCACTTTTACTATCAAGTTTTAAGAGCCGGCTTAGTGACTTAAAAGGTTTTAAGATGAGAATTATAATTATGATGTCAATGATGACCAAATTCACAATTTTGTTAATTATTTTATTAACTTAATTGATTGGCACTCCTTTTGTCAGACGAGACATTTCCAGTGTACGTACTCCATATTAAGACGCAATTAAAAAATAGTAATTAAGCCAAAGATAAACTAATCACGACTCAGATTAATGATTAGTGGCGTGGGTTAAGATGTCAACGTCAAATCCCAACGTCATCCTGCTTAACGCTGAAGCCTTCTAAGTTTATAACCTTGACTGGCTAGCTGTGCGTGAAGAGTGAGCTAATTCGGCTTCAACTGTACTATAGAAAAGGACTCTATACAGTCTTGCAGATTGTTCAAATTTGGCTGCTGCCGAACTTAAGAGAATTAGTGCTTAAATTTTTTTGATTATTTTTTAATAATATTTTCCGATAAATGAGATTCTTTTTGGTGTTTCAGGATTTTAGCTAAATCTTGTTTGGTAATGTGAAGGTCGATCCACCGAATTTAATTAGTTTCTTAATTAAGTATCTCACCTACAGCTCACCTACCACATCCACCTACCACTCACCTACCACATCCACCTACCGCTCACCTACCACATCCAACCTACCACCCCCTACCTCCCACCTACTTCTCTTATGATTTTTATAAATAGTTTCATTTGGTTTAAAGGAAATGCAAGTCAAGCAAAACCAAACAAGACCAAGTCAAGTCATCTTGAGAGCTAAGAGAAAGAGAGAAAGAGAAAGAGAAAGAGGAAGAGAGAGAAGAAAATAGAGATTTTCTTGTAAACGTTGAGGCGCTCGACGGTGTAATTTCTCTAAGTAGTAAAATCTTCTGCAGCTTCGCTCTGGTGTTTTTTCTCTGTGTGCAATTTTACTCGTTTCATTTTCATTTTGTTGTCGCGTTTTTTACAACAAATCTATCATTCTAAAACTAAAGAATTAATATTTTATTTTTAACATAGAGGATGAATAAGTTAAGAGCAAATGAGTTAAGAAAGCTTGAAGCCAATAAACACATGTCGGCCATCTGTTGATGCCCATCTACTAATGGAGTCTGAGATAAAAGTGCAGTCAGTCATATGAAAAAAACTATACTCCTGGAAGAATTATAAGTAGCGAGCTAAGAAATTTGTTCGTCTGTAAAACCCCGAAAACTAAGTTCAATTAAGATAAATTAGGTGACAAAATTTATTTCAATATGATTATAAAAAAAATTTTATATTACAGTCATGATGAACTTTAAATTAAGGATTTATTATGGATCAATTACAATTTTAGTTTTTGTTTAGGTATTTATTTTTAAAAACATGTTTGTTTAATTTATTTGGAATATATTTTTATTTTTTATTTCATTAAAAAAAAATTTTAAATATCAAATTTTTTTTTTTTTTTGCATTTTAAGTGTTGTTAATAAAAATAATCATGTTTCAAATTAAAAATAGAAACAAAATAAAATAAAAAATAAAAATAAAATTGAAACAAAAAATAAATGGGGTCTTAAATGACCCCTAAGTGGTTTTTTGGGAGCACTTTTAATTTTGAATTTGTTTTTTATGTTATTTTTATTCTTACTTAAAATAAAATATATTTGACATGTCATAATATATTTAATTATTTTTAAAAATACTGAAAATAATTTTTATATATATTGAATGATTTTGAAAATAAATAAATTTCTTAAGCAAAAAAATAAAATAAAAATATATAAAAAAATGTACTGAATGAACATATTTTTAAATAAATGTCAAGACATAAACTAAAACCAAAAAGCAAAAGTGATCCCGAAAGAAGCCCTAATAAATTTCTCATACAAAATTCATTTGCATCACTCTCAATCAAATTATTGCTTGTCAACAAGTTGTTCTTAAAAAGAAATATGCACAGATATTGAAGTCATATAATGCTTGGTATAATTAAGGCACGAAGTAAAAAACTTGTCGGATGTCAAATTCAAATTGATTACACAAAATGAATAATAAATGCTTTACGTTTTATATCTAACTTTGAAAAGAGATTGAATAAATACAATCAATTAATACATCTTATTTTAATTTACTGTATTATCTCAACATGAAGAAATTATTAGTTGCTGGAAATGCACGTTCGGTTGATCCGTCATGCAATCCCTGGTGGCGTGGTCGCATCTAATGTTGGAATGAAGAAGCTTTTAGGAAATGACAAAGGCTAAAAAAAAACAACTTATGGAAGAAGCTTCACTCTTATTTAACACCTTTACTTGGCTTGATATAAACTCAAAGACTCTACCTCTATTTATACTAGTGGCAAATCTTAAATTAACGGCTAGGATTGTGCCACTATAATTCTAATCTAATGGTTACAAATAATTTCATATTTACCACACAATAATTCCATACCTACGACACCTACCTTCTAGAAATTAAGCTTTATTTAAAAAAAAAACTAAAACCAAGTTTATATTTCAACATCTAAGTCATCATTTAGACGACTGTTCAGCATAATAATTTTCCCAATTCTCAATGGCAGAAATTGGAAACTAAAATTCACAAAAGGTTTCTAATAGAAGCCTCTAACTAATAAGTTGCTGA